TGTTGTGATGCCTGTGTTGAGCTCAGATCCTGCAACGACACAACCCAGCCCTAGTGTTTCTTTTTAGGGACCTATGCTGGTAATATACTATACCATACCATACCATACCATACTATACAGCTGACTTCAGCGTCCCCTTCCGCCTTCAACACAAAGTGTAAGCAGCCAGTCCATTTCATAATAAGCACCACAATAGATGCTCATCTCTCTCTCCCCAACTTTTTTGTCTCCCTTCTGCTCCTCTGCAGTTGCCTCTCCTTCATTGTCCTCCTTTTCTTTTAGTTCGTCTTCCTTTTTGAATTTGCATTCGTGCATCTGCATTGTTTCCAATGCTGAACGATTTCTTCAATAATTCCATGCATTTGCATACTTCTTCCTGCTCTGCAGCACAAGCAACAATCAGCGAGCACACGCTTGCAACAATGTCTATGTACAACCACTCCCAAGGTGCAATCCTCTCTCCAACCCCTTGTGTACTTTCCTTCCCCACCTGCCATTCCATGCTTGATGTGCATTTACATTACCTAGTGCTGTTCATGGACACTGTTTCGAATAACGGAAGCAGTGGCCCACCACTCACCCCTCCTGAGCTGAGTCCGTCCACACCTTCCACTTCTCCTCCTCCCTTCGAGCCAGAACGTCCCAGAGATACACCTTTGCAGTCATCCCCAACAACTCAGTTCACTGTACCTCCAATTGTGAGACATAGTCAGAGCATGTAACGCGCAGGTACAAACACAGCTTCGCCTGCAGCCCAAATCATCTCGTTCAATGCTCTGGATCACAACCCTGGTGCACTGCTCACACTTGCTACACACCATCACAATACATCCATCTCCTTGCTCCAGTTAGCCACTCACGTCAATGCCAATACTCACGCTCACACCTTTAGCCAGACAGTCTCACAACTTCTCTCACAAGCGCAACCTCAACCTACACAACACGTACAACCTTACAACCGACAGGCACACGCAATTTAACTTGCAGGGACCGAGTGACGACTAAGTCTTAGTGACTAAGACCACATCAAATGACCCAAGAATGCATTCATTGTCTTCTGTCACGAATGCTGTTTGAAAAAGAACGAAGCAGAGGCTGCACTACCTGTAGAAGACAACCTGGTTGCACGACATCTGTGTCGAGCTGACCTCTCCAAAACGATCTCATACCAATGGCATTCACTGTTTGTAGAGGAACGTAAATACTGGGGCGAACTCGTGAAGCAGAGGAAGAAAGAGCACAAGGAGATGAATACCCATGGTACGTCTATCGGTTGTTGTGATTTGCTAAGGTAGTGATAGTTTTATTTCTGTTATAATGTGTTAATATTATGTACTGTTCAGCATTGTTAGTAAAGAATAAAATATTTAAATAAAATATATATTGTATAATAAGCCATTCAGATAAGATATAAGCTGTAAATTAACTTATTTAAGGATTATAAGATAGCAGAAGAAGTATTATGCCATATCAGAAGAGGGGTGCAATATATACCATTATAGACTTTCCTAAGAGCTATAATTCTTATATCCCCATTGTAAGGACATGTAATGTTTATTAATTCTCATAATATAAATCTGTCTTATTACAACCTTATAGTATCTTTTATATATCTTATCCAATGAGGGGTGTAATAAATGTCATTATGGATAATATTGTTTTTTACTATATTATATATGCATATAAGAGTATATAATAATTAAG